TCCGCCTCCCCCTCTCTCCCTATTTATTTCAGAACCCCCTTCCCCACCCCCATTTCTGAAGAAGGGACTAGGCCCTAAACGTCAGCCTTCCTGCTCCTCTGATGCTGCTTAACCTGCTGTGTTCATCCAGCTCTACACCTTGTTGTCTCAGATTCTCCAGCATCTGCAGTTCCTACTATCTCTGACTCAATTTATTTACCAGCTTTGAATTTCATGTGTAATCTTGCAAAAGTGCTGTCCAACAACACATTACTCAGTGTGTTTACACCCTCTAATTATAGCTGGTTATTGCTTTTTTTCATGTTTTAAAACTTCCTGTTGTGTGGCACTTGAATAACAGGGAACTTGCATCATGTGTTAAGTACAGGGTAGTTCCTGGAGTACGTCCCCTTCAGTTTAACAGCTGGATGGGTGTTGGTTTAATTCAGTTGGATGGACTACCAGTTTGTGATGCAAAGTGATGCCAACAATGTGGCTTCATTCATGCAAGAACATGAACATTACTTGCCACTTGTCACCCCCAACCTGGATATTGTACAGGTCTTGCTGCATTTGGACATGGAATATGTCACTATCTGAGGAGTTGTGAATGATGCTGAATGTGGTATCAAGGAGTCCTAGCAAAACTGGAGATGAGAATCAGAAGGCAAAATCTCTGTTGGTTGGAGTCATACGTGGCACGAAGGAAAATGGTTCTGGTTTTCAGAGGTCAATTATCTCCATCCTGAACATTGTGGGAGTTCCTCAGGCTTGTGTCCTCGCCCCAACCATCTTTAGCTGCTTCATCGATGACAATCCCTCGATCATAAAGCCAGAATGTTCAGCACCGTTCACAACTCATCAGATACTAAAGCAATTCATGTTGAAGTGCAGCAAGACCTGGACAATATCCGGCCTTGGGTGATAAGGGTCAAGTAAAATTCACACCACACAAGTGCCAGACAGTCTCCAATAAGAGAAAATCTAGCTTTCTACTCCCCATGACATCCAATGCCATCACCATCACTGCAATCAATATCCTGGGAGTTACCAATGACCAGAAACTGAGCTGAACCAACCATATAAGCACAGTAGCTACAAGAGTAGATCAGAAGCTGAGAATTCTGTGGGGAATAACTGATTCCCAACTTCCCAAAAACTGTTCACAATCTACAAGGCTCAAGTCGGGTTCTGATTGAATACTTCCTACTTGCTTGGATGAGTGTAGCTCCAACAGCACTCAAGGAGATCAACACAATCCAGGCAAAAGCAGTTGTTTAATCAGCACCCCATCCATCACATTAAAACATTCACTTTCTCCATCACCAACACACAGTGGCAGCAGGCTGCACCATTTTGAAGAAGCACTGCAGGAACTTGCCAAAGCTCTGACTGCAAATTTGCCACCTCTACCGTCTGAAAACACAACAGCAGGAGACACAGGGCAGCACCAGTTTTCCCTCCATATGATGCACATGCATACACACACAGCCATTCCATTCCCCTCTAAACCCTTCCTATTCATGTACCCATCCAGATGCCTTTTAAATGCTGTAATTGTACCAGCCTCCACCACTTCCTCTGGCTGCTCATTCCATACACACACCACCCTCTGTGTGAAAAAAGTTGCCCCTCAGGTCCCTTTTAAATCTTTGCCCTCTTACCTTAAACCTATGCCCCACTCGTTTTAGAATCCCCTACCCCAGGGAAATGACCTTGGCTATTCACTCTATCCATGTCCCTTATGATTTAATAAACCTCTATAAGGTCTCCCCTCAGCCTCCGATGCTCCAGGGAAAATAGCCCCAGTCTGTTCAGCCTCCCCCTATAGCTCAAGCCCTCCTTTCCTGGCAATATCCTTGTAAATCTTTTCTGAACACTTTCAAATTTAACAACACCTTTCCTAAATCAGGGAGACCAGAATTGAACGCAATATTCTACAAGTGCCTTCAACAATGTCCTGTATGGCCATAGATGATAGTGGTGGAGGGTTGCTTTTCAGACTGGAGGCCTGACTGGAGGCCTGTGACCAGCAGTGTGCCACAAGGATTGGTGGTGGGTCCACTGCTTTTTGTCATTTATATAAATGATTTGGATATGAACGTAGGAGAGGTACGTTTGGTACGTTTGCAGATGACATTAAAATTGGAGATGTGGGTGGACAGTGAAGAAGGTTACAAAAACAAAGTTGCTGGAAAAGCTCAGCAGGTCTGGCAGCATCTGTGGAGGAGAAAACAGAGTTAACATTTCGGGTCCGGTGACCCTTCCTCAGACCCTTCCTGAAGAAGGTTACCTCAGAGTTCAACAGGATTTTGATGAGATTGGCAAATGGGCCGAGGTGTGGCAGATGGAATTTAATTTGGATAAATGCGACGTGCTGCATTTTGGAAAGGTAAATCAGGGCATGACTTATACCTTTAATGGTAAGGTCCTGGCGAGTGCTGTGGAATAAAGAGACCTTGGCGTGCAGGTTCATAATTCCTTGAAAGTGGAGTCGCAGGTAGATAGGATAGTGAAGAAGGCATTTGGTATGCCTGCCTTTATTGGTTAGGGCATTGGGTATAGGAGTTGAGACGTCATGTTGTGACTGTACAGGATATTGGTTCGGCCACTTTTGGAATATTGTGTGCAGTTCTGGTCTCCCTCCTCTCGGAAGGATGTTCTGAAATAAGAAAGGGTTCAGAAACGATTTATGAGGATGTTGCCAGGGTTGGAGGATTTGAGCTATTGGAAAAGGCTGAATATACTGGGGCTATTTGCCCTTGAGTTTGGAGGCTGAGGGGTGACCTTATGGAAGTTTATAAAACCATGAGGGGCATGGATAGGGTAATCAAGCAAGTTCTTTTCCCCAAGGTGGGGGAGTCCAAAACTAGAGGGCATAGGTTTAAGGTGAGAGGGGAAAGATATAAAAGGAACCTAAGGGGGAACTTTGTCACGCAGAGGGTGGTGAGTAAAAGGCATCTGGATGGATATATGAATAGGAAGAGTTTAGAGGGATATGGGCCAAATGGTGGTAAATGGGACTAGATTTATATAGAATATCTGGTCAGCATGGACCAGTTGGACCGAAGGGTCTGTTTCCATTCTGTACATCTCTATGGCTGTATAATATGACATCCCAAATCCTATACTCAATCCACTAACCTATGAAGACAAGCCTGCCAAGTGCCTTCTTGGCCACCCTGTCTACCTGCAATTCCACTTTTGAGGAACTATGCTCCTGCACCCTTAGGACTGTTTATTTGGCAACACTCCCCACAGCCCTACCATTAACTGTATAAGTCCTGTCCTGATTTGCCCTACCAACATGCAACATGTCACATTTATTTAAATTAAACTCCACCTGCTATTCCTCTGCCAATTAGCTCATCTGATTAAGGTCCCATTGTATTCTGAGATAACCTTTTTCACTCCCCACTACACCACCAATTTTGGTCTTATCTGCAAACTTACTAACCATGTCACCTATATTTACATCCAAATTATTTATATAAGTGCCAAAAAGCAGCGGACCCAGCACCAATCCTTGTGGCACATCGCTGGTCACAGACCTCCAGTCCGAAAAGCAACTCTCCACCACCACCCTCTGTCTCCTACCTTCTGGCCAATCTTGTATCTAAATGGCTAGTTCTCCCTGTATTTCATGTGATCTAACCTTGCCAACCAGAATACCATGCGGAACATTGTTGAACGCCTCAGTGAAGTTCGTACAGACAAGGTCTGCCGATCTGCCTTTATCAATCTTCTTTATCACTTCTTCAAAAATCTCAATGATCTCAAAAAAATCAGTGAAACTATATTGCCATTCCTCCAGTGTAGCTGAGTCAAAATCCTGGAACTCCGTTCCTAACAGCACTGAGGGTGCAGATATTTCCTTTCCTCCCCATGGATTGGAGCAGTTCAAGAAGGCAATTCAATATCATTGTCTCAATTAGAGATGGGGAATAAATGCTGCAATAGCTAGTGAGGCCCACATCCCATTAATGAATTAAAATAAGCTCCTTCATGAAATAACTCCACAGAGGCTGGTATCTTGTCACCAAGTCGCCCCTTACTTACATGTGGAGAGTCCTTGTAACTGATTCAGCTCCCTCAAAGCCAGCTCTCACAGTGAACAGGATGTCTGATACTCCTGCTAATATCTCTCAGCCAGGGCTCCCTGATTGGACCAAGTTAACAGCCCCAATCAGGGAACTCATAATCTATGAGGTCCACTTGGCTAACCTCATTACAGTCAATACACCTGGTACTGAGGTTAGATTCTATAAAAAGAATCCGTGAAATTAAATGGAATTACAGAGCAGGGCATTCAGCCTGGTCAGTCTAGAGTTTTATGTCCTGCGGAAACCTCATTATCTATCATTGCTTCAACAATTACAGCAGCGTACTATTAGCTTCATTCCTCATGTACTTATCTATCCTCCCTTTAAAATGTCCTAACTCTTATAACTGGCAATGTCTGGGCAAAGATGTGTCTCCCTAATTCCACTTAGATTTATTCTTGACTATCTTACACTGAGACGCCCTATCATGGGGCCTGCTGATAACAGGGATTGTCCAGGTGGGATTATCCCTGGGTTGTTTTGCTGCACAGAACCATTATTGCCTTCTCTGCTGACTGTTACCTGTTTTAGCACTGGATTGACATTTTAATCGTGAATTTTAGGATAAGGAACTCACAGGGGAGTCCTTCCCCACTCCCTTTGCTGTGTCAGGTGCATGGGATTGTTGGAAGGTGGGTACAGTGAATTGGTTGGTGGGGAGGGGGGGTGCAGGATGTACATAGTCACTTGACCTCCGGTGACTTTGGTTACCCCTTGGGTTTTCAGTTCTCTTTTATTTTCAGGGGATATAATCTGCAGGTAGAAGCGCAGCTTTGATGTCAGTAGGAAGACTGATAAATGTGCTTGTGTTGAGCTGAGTGAGTTGCTGGGAGCTTGGAGGGGGATGGGTTAATGGCTCAGAGAGGCCTACAAATTCCGAAAGGGTGGCTCACCTCATTGCTGCAACAGGAAGTGATGTTAGTGCTGAGTTAATGAACACACCTTGAGCACCTGACCATTAGCAGCTATTACTGAGCACAGGAACAAAGGGAGATATATACAGGCGACAAGTTAGAAGGGAGCAGTAGAGAAAGTTTGTTTTGAGGTGGGAAGAAATCTTTAAAAGATGGAGGAACAGGAGAAGTCCTCCTGGAGAATGGGACTGCTAAAGACTTTTGATTCAGATGAGTTTATGAGCTGGGAAAAGATTGGATCTGGTGGATTTGGACAGGTTTACAAGATTCGTCACGTTAACTGGAAAACATGGCTGGCCATCAAATGTCCTCCAAGTCTCCATGTAGATGAGAAGTAAGTTGCTGACTTGGGTCTTATATTGAAATTTTGAACATTCCTGTTGTTGGTGTGTGCTGTTTGTTGAATGCGGCTTCGATAATGTGCTCTTCAAAATTGAAATAGTTATCAACTGTTCTTGCAGCAACCTGTGAGAATGTTGCCTGTGTACTGCATGGGGAGTGCTAACTTTCAGTTTAACCCTCCTATTCTCTGTTTTATTTTATTGCTGGTCCTATTTCCCCTGCTCTGTGTGTGCGACATATTGGATTTAAGCTGTGGATGATTGTTTCCTCACAAGAATAATTCTTGTGATGATACAATCACAGAATCATACAGCACAGAAGTGGCCCTTCAGCCCATTGAGTCTACACCAGTCTCACCTTCCCGCAGTAGGCCCATAGGCTTAAACGTTGTGACAGTTTTAAGTGCTTGTTCAAATACTTATTCAAGGATGTGGGGTTACCAACCCCCACTACTCTCCCAGGCACTGAATTTCAGACCCTCACCACTCTCTGGGTGAAAGAATGTTTTCCTCCAATCTCCTCTAAACCTCCTGCTTTTCAGTTTTTAAAAGTGCACCCTCTTGCTCCCTACCCTTTGATTAAGGGGAACAGCTGCGTTCTACTCATGCTGTCTGTGCCCCTTGTAATGTTATACACCCTGTATCAGGTTCCCCCTTCAACGTTCCCTGTTCCAAAGAAAACAACCCAAGCTTATCCAGCCTCTCTTCATAGCTGTGTCCTGGTGAATCTCCAGTGCAGTCACATCCTCCCTATGGTATGGTGGCCAGAACTGTAAACAATACTCCAGCTGTGACCTAACCAAAGTTCTGTACAGCTCCGACATAACCTGGCTGCTCTTATAACTTATGCCTCAGCTCATAAAGGCAAACATCCATATTCCTTCTTAACCACCCTATTAACCTGTCCTGCCACCTTCCGTTGACAAACACCCCAAGATCCCTGTTTGTCTGAGCTCCCTAGTGTCCTGCCATTCATTGAGTACTCCCCTTTCTTGTTATTTCTTCCAAACTGCATCAGCTCAAACTTATCAGAGTTAAATTCCATCTTCCTCTGATCTGCGCCACTTATATCTTTCTGTGTACTAAGATGATTGATCCAATATCTGCAAGTATATCCCCCTGGTTAATTAGCTCTCCTTTCTGCAAAGTGTTGGTTTTCTTTTCAGATATAATTTTATCTGGCCCAGTTGGTAATCATTACATGTAAGTTAGGATTGTCAATCAGAACTGTAGAGACAGACAAGCCTAATCATGTCCTGACCCAAGGCAATGCATGTATTCATGACTGGAGTCACGGAATATGACATGCTGACTGTCTCCCACCCCCCTGGGATTTTATTGTCTACATCACTGGCAGCCATGCATTCAAACATAACCCTAAAAACTGACATTCCCTTTCTAACATCTCACACTACTGCCTCGCCCAGGACTCTCCCTGAGACAGTAAATAAAAGTGTAGTATTGTGAGTTCTGGACCCTTGAAATAAAAACAGGACATGCTGACAACTCAACAGATCTGGTAGCATCTGTGGAGAGAGAAAACAAATTAACATTTTGAGTCTGTTATGACTTCTCCAGAATGCAGTTCGAAACTCTGTTTCTCTCTGCACAGATGCTGACAGGCCTGCTGAGTTTCTCCAGCTCTTTAACTTCCTCACACCTAACTTCATCAAACAATTGGTCAGCTGCCCGAATGTCTTCTGGGTGTTGACCTTTATCGGATTCTGTGAAGTGACTTGGGATGTACTCAGGGTGCTACATAAATGCAGGCTTTTACCTGTATTGTGTCAGGCCTTTAAGTTTGAGTTGTGTGGGGTTGGGAGTGGGGAGAGAGAGAGAGAGAGAGAGAGAGAGAGTTCTTCAAAAACTGACCCTTCAGTTTTTTTTGTTCCATTTATCTCTTTCTCTGTCAGTTTGTTTTTCTGGCTGTGTATTGTTCTTCTGTTTTGTGTATTCTCTTTAGTTTGAGCATTACAGCATGAGGGTCATGTTACAGGATGATGTTGAACAAGAAATTCCATAAATAAGTGTTTGCTTCAACCAGACTGGTCGTTTTTTTTTTTTTTCTCAGTTAATTTTTAACTTGTTGTTATGTATAAATTAATCCGTTACTAGATTCTATCTGGCATGAATGTGAATCACATCTAATGTCACGGGAATAGTAGGAACTGCTGATGCTGGAGAATCTGAGATAACAAGGTGTAGAGCTGGATGAACACAGCAGGCCAAACAGCATCAGAGGAGCAGGAGGAGCAGGAAGGCTACTCCTGCTCCTCTGATGCTGCTTGGCCTGCTGTAATTATCCAGCTCTACACCTTGTAATGTCATGGGAATGCTGGCAGAGATTTAGCAGTGAAATGGAGAGGCCTTTACTGCCCCAGGCTCCATTTACCACCCTCCTACTCTCTGGATTGGTGAGAATGGTAGGCAATCATCAACAATTAGAATTTGTATAGCATGGGCAAACTATATCCAGAGGTGATTAACAAGGGCATTGTTAAACAAAATTTGGCAATTTGAGCCACATAAGGAGATTTAGAATTAGCTTTATTGTCACATGAACTCACACGAATACAGTGAAAAGTTTTTACAAGCCACCACTTACGGCGCTATCTTAGGTACCAAGGTACTGATTCTTAAGTAGAAATTCTTTGGGGAAAAAAATTTGAAAAGTAAAGAAATAGGTCCAGTGATGAATTAGTAAAATAAGAGAAATAAGAGTTCAGAATAACAGAGATAACAAGTGTAGAGCAGGATGAACACAACAGGCCAAGCAGCATCAGAGGAGCAGGAAAGCTGACATTTCGGGTCTGGACCCTTCTTCAGAAATGTTATTCTTTAGAATGACAGTCCTTTGAACCCAGATTGCACTGGGTTTCACCTGGAGGCCACGAGTCCGAGTCCACGCTGAAGAAAAGAAATGCAACAGGTCAAAGTGTTAGATTTTTGTGGAGCAAGTGAGTGCATTCCCTCCTGGTTGCTGAGCCATGGAGAGCTGTGGTCAACTGGACTAAAGACTGCAGACAGGTCAAGAAGGGTGAGAAGCGCATGTTTACCTTTGTCACAATAAAAATGAAGAGGTTAGAGAGATTTAAAAGAAAGAATGAATTGCATTTTTGACCCATTTCTGAAGAAAGGTCTAGGCCGGAAACGTCAGCTTTCCTGCTCTTCTGATGCTGCTTGGCCTGCTGTGTTCATCCAGCTCTACATCTTGTTATCACATGTCCATCTCACCCTTCTTGACCTGTCTGCAGTCTTTAGTCCAGTTGACTACCGCTCTCCATGACTCAGCAACCAGGAGGGAATGCACTCACTTGGTTCTATTGTCCCCTGTGCAATCAAAGGCAGAGAAATATTTGCACCCCTGTTCCCACATCATTCCATTTGGAGTCCCTGAAGGATATATCTTGAGCTCTTTCCTATTTCTTGTTTATTTACTATCCCTTAGCATCACCTGAAAATAGCAACAGGTTCCAAGTCTGTGGTGATGTGATCTCACTGCCACCTCCCTCCATCTGGGAGTTGCTATGTTTGTCTGTTTGTTTGTTTGTGTGACATCTAGTATTGGCTGAGCAGAAATGTCCTTCAAAAGAAGTAGCATTAATACTTGCCTTCCAGTTCGGCATTCAAACTCAACTCAGGCTGAGTTAGGGAGAGGCAGTGCTTTTGTGGTAATGTTACGGGCCTAGTTACCCAGAATGCAAGGCTAACATTCTCTGCTCCCTTCTCCCAGTCCAATCTGTCTCCCTCTGGACTTGTTGCTCCAACCCTGACCTTGTTGCTCCAACCCTGACCTTGTTATCGAACCTAGCTGTGAGGGCAATGAAGTTGTCGTCTAGCATGCTACCCTCTACCTGGCAGAGGTCAAACTCCAGCCTTCAGATACTCACTCCTCTCTCAGTTGATCATGTAAAGTCATTATATTCCTACCAGACCATTGGGCTGCTTCTCTCATTAGAGAGAGGGAGAGACAAATGATGGCAGTTTAATCTGAGGGTCACCACGCCTCAGGTGAGGGATGAGGTTGAGAAAGAGAGTCCTTTATGGCATCCTCAGTTGATGAAGGAATTAAACCCATACTGTTGATATCACTGTGTTGTAAACCAGCTGTCCAGCCAACTGAGCTAACTTACCCTGGATCGTGACTCCACCACTGAATATTAGTCTAGTTTCCAGCACTGTCACTGACCTCATCTCCTCTGGAGATCTTCCGTCCACTACTTCCACCTCATAGACCCCAACCCCACATAGCCTGCATCTACCTCTCTCCCAAACTCCACAAACAGGACTGCCCTGGCAGACTCATTGTTTCAGCCTATTCCTGCTCCACTGAGCTTATGTCTTGCTATCTTAACTTGATTTTTCTTTTACCCCCACCCCTAGTCCATTGTCTGTTCCAACTGACATTCTTGATTCTTCTGATGCTTACCGTCAAATCCCACAGTATCCTCCTCTTCACCATGAACATGCAATCCTCTCCATGTCCATCCCACATCAGGATGATCTGAAGGCTCTCTGCTTCTGCCTTGAAAGAAGTCCTGAGCCGTCCCTGTCCTACCACCACCCAACCCTCAACAACAAAAGCAAAATTTTCTGGAAAAGCTCAGCAGGTCTGGTAGCATGTGGAGAGAAATCAGAGTTAACGTTTCGGGTCAAGTGACCCCCTCCTCAGAACCACCCTCCTTCACCTAGCTGAGCTCACTCTCGATTTAAACAACTTCTTCTTCTCTTAACTTGTTTCACTTTCTCCATGTCGAAGGTGTAGTTATGGGTGCCTGCCTGGGTCCCAGTTATGCTTGTCTTATCGTGGGGTATATGGAAAAAGAACTGTGGATGTTGGAAATCAGGAACAAAAACCAAAATTGCTGGAAAATATCAACAGATCTGACAGCATCTATGTAAACAGAGTAAACAGTTATAGGGTTATGCAGCATGGAAACAGACCCTTCCGTCCAACTCGTCCACGTGGACTGAGTTTCCCAACGAAACTAGT